AATATTCTGATTGTATTGTTGAATATAAAGTTAATTCATTATTAATAGGATATTGACAAAAGAATGACCCAATTCTATACAATAAATGCCATTTCAACGCTAAAACATTATTTGCCGTCACTTTTCAATTTGACATAACAGTGACGTTTGTGACGGCCGTTGTTTCTTCAATACTGTACCCTAATTTCCCATTGATAAGTTACTAACATCTACATAACATCTACATTAATCTAAAATATAATTATAATTTAAAAATATTCGTAAAATGACAATAATTTTAAACCACAATTCTGTATTAATAATATGGTTTGGGAGATATTAAAGTATACAAAAGTTAAATAAAATACCTATAATTAGTAATTACTATTAATTTAATCTATAAGTATTCATTAAATAACTAGTTATAGAATTTGTATTGATTAGTTAATTATAAGTTGTTATTAATAAACCCATAATTAATTATAATTTCGATTCAAAGAACATAAAAGTAAATAAAGTGCAAATTGCATTCATTAAAGTATTAAATAATAACTTTCTCTCTCTCTCTCTCTCTCTCTCTCTCTCTCTTTCTTTCTTTCTCTTTCTCTGTTGTCGATTATTACTTCTTTAAGTATACTTTTTATATTCATAACAATACAAAAAACATTATATTGTTCATAAATTTTGATTAATTTGTTTTTGTATTGACTCAACTATTGGTTAAATACGGAAGAGAAGGAGAATTGACTCTAAGATATTGTTTTATAACATATTTGAAACATATTTACCAAAACTCATTCTAGAAGTATATTCTGTAGTCAATTGTCTGTCAAAAGTAAATATTATTTTGGATAAAGAATATGGAAATATGAACACAAAAAATATCGACTTTAATATAGTGTATGTTTAAGTGTTGCGATCATAAACAAAATAATTAGAGAATAATCATAATATGCATGTCTTACAAGGAATTGTTTAAATGTAAAATAAGTTTTAGGTTATGTTTACGTATTGTTTTCATCAGTAAAGCATTGCGTAATGATTTTTGCATATTTGTGTTACAATAATGCTTTTTTCGTAGAAACAATTACATTGTATATAAGACATTCACTGGAAAGAACCAATTTTGATGTTTTGATGGCAAAACACATTTTGCATAAGTGTGACGAACTCTATGTTAAAGAACTTACATTTCACTCTTTGATTCATTTGTGGTTTTATAAAATTTGTTTTTGTATTGACTCAACTATTGGTTAAATACGGAAGAGAAGGAGAATTGACTCTAAGATATTGTTTTATAACATATTTGAAACATATTTACCAAAACTCATTCTAGAAGTATATTCTGTACTCAATTGTCTGTCAAAAGTAAATATTATTTTGGATAAAGAATATGGAAATATGTTCAAATACAAAAAATATCGACTTTAATATAGTGTATGTTTAAGTGTTGCGATCATAAACAAAATAATTAGAGAATAATCATAATATGCATGTCTTACAAGGAATTGTTGAAATGTAAAATAAGTTTTAGGTTATGTTTACGTATTGTTTTCATCAGTAAAGCATTGCGTAATGATTTTTGCATATTTGTGTTACAATAATGCTTTTTTCATAGAAACAATTATATAAGACATTCACTGGAAAGAACCAATTTTGATGTTTTGATGGCAAAACACATTTTGCATAAGTGTGACGAACTCTATGTTAAAGAACTTACATTTCACTCTTTGATTCATTTGTGGTTTTATATAAACGCAAACGTCTTTTAATTCAAGTTTTAATGCAAATAATTTGTTGCCAAATGAAGGTCTGTCTGTAAAGGCAAACAAATAACTATCGCATAAATAAGTCTATAAATCATAACAATTAATTCTGTCTCAAACAACCGGATCTTTTATGATCCTTGAATTGGCATATATTCTGACTTGTGATGCAAACGTATGTAAATTCTTGACATATTATCCTCTCTTCTAATTTAGTTTTAGTTGAATTAAAGTGTGGGTCGAAGAGTGTGAGTGACTGAATCTCTTTCGCAGTAAGAGAGAGAGAGAGAGAGCGAGAGAGAGCGAGAGAGAGCGAGAGAGAGCGAGAGAGAGAGAGAGAGAGAGAGAGCGAGAGAGAGTTGATGAAGTTTTTAAATAAAGTCAGTCATAATACTAGTTATAGGGAAACAATTTTGGGCCATACGTTTGCGTGTTGTCTCCGCCCAATAAATAGTCTGTTGAAATGGTATAAAATTGTCTCACATTTAGTTTTTGTTTAACAGTTTCAGTCAACAATTGTCTGATAAAGTGTAACACAAACTCATGTCAAAAACATTATAAAAAGTATTATTGATATTAAGAAGACTTATCAAGAATTACTCCCTTCAAAGACTTAATGCGTCCGAAAATGTTGTCCAGATTAAGACTTGCGAAAGATTACACATCTATTATATTGTATATAATTGTTGTAATTTTAATAATTCCTCAATTATTAATGATGTCATACGCGGCGAACGGATCACCACTTCATAAGAATTTAAACATAAATGTTATGAAGAATAGTTTGAAACTATTTAATGAATGCACTGTCAGTCCAGACGTGAGAAGTGTGTGCGAAAAGTGTGCAAAAGTGACGAAATCAGATATGGCTTATCCCCTGTGCTGTAGTCAAAGAAGTGACAGAGAATGGTGTCAACTATTCCTGGATTACACGTTATCTCAGAAATAAATTCATCGCTAAATTCTTCTCCAGTTTCGCAGCTTTTCTTTGAGTATTGATTTCATCACATGTTTGTTATTCAACTCAAACAATGCAAATGTATTAGCAATAAGTGTATTGCACTCAAACACTACTCTCTTCACTCATTTCAACAATTATTTATTTTAATTTACATAATTTTATTTAAATTCATATGAATATCTGTTTTTATTATCATTTTTAAGCAATTTTAAATATTTCTATATTATATGTAATCTACAGTACAATTGTAATTATGTATTAATACTAATATTTGTAAAATGATTACTATATTGATTAAAAATTATTTGATTTAATTCAATTGTTGTAAACTTATTAAAATTATTCTATACAAGAATTTAACATTTAATAACACATTGGCATTGATAATAATAATCAAATAATTTGTAATATTAGTTTTGTATATAAATATTTTTACTTTAAGTTTGTTTTAAAGTAAATTCTTTGTCTAAATGTTGTTCAATAAAAATCTATAATTTGATAAATATAATTAATTCTACAATAATTTAATTAATAGATTATTTATAAATATAAATGCTTATGGTTAGTGTAATTAAGTTAGCGTTACATCTGGTTTTAAGGGTTGCTTTCCGTTTGAGAAATATTTTCAATACTGAAGTTTGAATGAATGATATTATTGTGGGTTTATTGTATTATTTACTATGCTTATGGTTAGTGTAATTAAGTTAGCGTTACATCTGGTTTTAAGGGTTGCTTTCCGTTTGAGAAATATTTTCAATACTGAAGTTTGAATGAATGATATTATTGTGGGTTTATTGTATTATTTACTAGAATATCGATTTTGCTTAATAACCAAATTCTGTAAAGTCAACAAAAAATGATCGGAAATAAATAATTGATTTGACCCAAACTTATTAAGCTATTAAATTTATAAAGCTTTACATTATAAATACTAATGACTAGTATTGTTTTTATATATGATATAAACATTTAATACTTATAATAATTTACATGGTTGTTATCACAATGTATGTCATTAAATGTATTTCTAAATTAATTATTCATTCATATTCATCAATACTGTAAATTAAAATTTTATGAATTTTTAATAAAAAACAAAAAAACGAAATTTTTAACATAAAACGAAATTTTTAATATAAAAATAAATGACAATTATATTACAACATGTAATTAAAACCCACAATTAAATTCTCTGTTATAATAAATGTTTGGGAATTTTGACATCTCATGAGCGATGGGAAGGAAAGCAAACACTTTGTTTTATTAAAATATATTTTCTATAAATAATATAAATTATATTAATATTATAAATGTTTTTA